AAAGGAAAGAAGGAAGGAAGAAAAATGATTTCCACTTCCTGTTTGTGCCCAGAAAACATATTGGTGATAGAATGACTTTTGCTCAGTAAATTTAGGTTATTATAAAAGATAAATTTTTAGACATCCCACTGGTAGAACTTTTGAGAGCAAAGGTCTTGCCTTAGGTAATTTTGTATATCAATGTATGTCAGTGTTTTCCTTTTATAAAAATGGCTTCTGTTATACAGGGAACAGAAATGATCCTGAAGTCTTAAAAACAGTTTTTAAGAAGTAGTTAATTTCTTTCATTTTACTTAACTTTTAGTCTTAGTTTTATTTTAAATATGATATACAGAGGGAGTACAGTTCTATAAATCAGGCAATGAGAACATTTCTTTTTGAACAGTGTTACCCCTTTCCTAATTCTCTCTCGGTTTTTCCCTCATGTCTTGCCCCTGCACACATGTTCTATACTTCCTCAACACAGTGTCTAGTGAGTATCACTAGCACATTTGTTCACCCATTGTTCCACCATTCCTCTGCTCCACCCTTACTCTCTCCCAAATAGATAAAATTTACATATAAGACAAAAAGTACAGAAAACAATAACAGCAACAAAGGTGAAAATACAATTAAAATGAAAAAGTAATGAAAAATCTCATTTATTTTTATGTGTAGCATTTTAGATGATCATATGCACATATCTATTGAGGCTTTGTGATCCTCTCCTAAAAATCTCCTCCTTTGGTCTCACTGTGGTGTTCTACCATCCATTGTGTTTACTTGCAGATTTATAGGCTCTAGTTAGAATAAATGAGGGAAACCAAGCAACCTATGTTTCTGTGGATCTGGTTTACTTCCCTTAACATAATTTTTTTCTAGGACAAAAGCTGTGCGAGTGACTACAAATTGCTAAGCATGTATTCTACCACTTGAGCCATGTCATAAGCCTTGATTTTTCATTTATTCATTCATCTATTGAATTTTACAAATGCTTAGACTAAACTATATGTGATCTATCAACAAAAGGTGGAATTTCTGTAGAACAAAATGTATATGAATATGGTTTCTTCCAACATACCGATTGCACTGCATTCACTCTTCTCTTCATGAACTGAGATGACCAATGCTCATGGGAGGAGATGAACTGAATGATGGAGGCACTGTGACACAGGGACATGAATACAAGCACCTCAATACTGTGAAACTTGGTCTAATAACCAGGAAGAAGATTGTGACTAATGAATAATCACATATAGGTTATGAATGTGTGGTACACAGAGTGCTTCAAGCATATGGATTTTTTATTTCTAGAAATTACCATGTCATATTTGTGGACAATAATTAAAAGGGAGACTGGCACTATAAAAATTGAAAGTATAAATAAGAGAACTACTGTACTAATATATATATATATATATGTTGCAGTATCATATATAAAAGAATATTTTGACCTATCTATTTCACCTATGATAATGTTTCTTAAAAATAGGCATTATGCCAAGATTTAGTTACAAGGATTTTATTGTAGTATAATATAAAATAAATAAAAATTATCTGTACAACTAGCAGAATTAAATAATTTCTGGCCTTGTAGTATTATATTTTTATATCACATATATATGATATTATGATATTATATATGCGATATACTACATATATGATGTAAAATTATTTATTTATAATTTACACATGTATTAAAAATAAAATATCTTTATTAATATAGGTAAGTGTATATTTATTGTTAGTAGAATGTTTCGTGTATTTGTATGTTCATGATAAAGGTCCTCCAACACCTTCACAGTAACTACTACTCTTGGGAGATTGTTCCACGAAATTGAATTCTGGGCCTGAGTGCTGTCCCTCAGCTCTTCAGCTCAAGGCTAGCGTTCTACCACTTGAACTACAGTGCCACTTCCGGTTTGCTGGTGGTTTATTGGAAATAAGAGTTTCACAGACTTTCTTGCCCCTGCTGGCTTTAAACCGCCATCCTCAGATCTCAGCCTCCTGAATAGCTAGGATTACAGGCGTGAGCCACCAGAGCCCATCCACGAAATTGATTTTTTGTGTGTATCATTTTTTGTCTGAGCACATGAATCACTTCAATACCAAGAAAACAATTTTTTAATATTCAAAACAATTTTGCTAGACATGTTTATATTTAACACAATTTTTGCTAGACATGTTTATATTTTTCTTTATATATTCTCCTGTAGTAAGTAGAACTTACAAAATAAAACTTTTCTTTTAAATAATAACTATTTCAGTTTGGATAATAATAGCTCATAACTATATTGCTAACTACTCCAGAGGCTGAAATCGGAGGTTTGTGGTTTAAACCCAAGTCAAGCTGAAAATTCTACAATATTCTTTACTTATCTCCAATTTACTACCACCACCACCAATAAAAGTAACAGAAGTAGAAGTGCAGCTCAAGTGATAGGGAGCTAGCTATAAGTGAAAAGGTCTAGTGAAATGAGAAGCTTTGAATCCTCATTCACACACACACACACACACACACACACACACACACACACACACAGCACGGCACGCTATTACAGCATGTGGACCATTTGATGCCCTTCCTTGGACTTATGGTGGACTTTGGAAGAGTAAATCTTAAATCTGGCCCTCTTTTTCATATTCCTTTTGCTCATTTTCCCTTTCATCATCCCTATTTTCCCCTTAAATTCTTTCTTGTTCTCCATTAGAAAACAGAGAGAATTATTCAATCTAAGTTTTTTGTTAAAGAATTCAAATTGGAGTCATTAGTCAGCTACACCTTATTTAGGTTCTCAATCTTACCTATTAAAATTTTTGTTATAAAATATAAGTTTTACCTTACATCCCAAATTGTAAAGTACAAAACACATTTAAAAGAGCAGAAAGTGCTGTTTTTGTAGGATGTGTGTATTCGGTTTTTAGGTAGTTTTCATTTTCAGTTGTTTCCTTTATGCAGTTAGAGCCGTGATGTATGTAAATTGATATGTTTGTCTATTTGTTTCCAGTAGAAATGGATACTAAGAATTTTCCTCAAGCTCCATTTTCTTTAAGAATAGCTGTGGTGTTAACACCTGTTTCATGTACTTTCTTCTTTACAGTACTCTTTTTTTATGTGTTACGTGTGCCAGCATTGGGGCTTGAACTAGGGTCTGAACACTGTCCATTAGTTTTTCTTTCTCTTTTATTTTCATTCAAGGCTTTGCCATTTGAGCCATAGCTCCACTTGCGCATTATTTTAATAATTAATTGGTGATAAGGGTTTCCACAGAATTTCTTAGTATGGCTTGATTTGAACCTGATCCTCAGAGCTCAGATTCCTGTGTAACCAGGATTACAGGCATGAGCCCCTGGCACCTGGCTACCATTACCCTTCAATGCCTACTCCAAGCCTGTTTAGTCAATGCAGAATGTGCAATGATAGAGAAAATTAGCATGACCCCTACCTTTTGTTGTTGTCATTGTTGTTGGTCGTGAGGCTTGAACTCTGGGCTTGAGCACTGCCCCTCAGCTCTTCATCTCAAGGCGAGTGCTCTACCACTTGAGCCCCTGGTTTCCTAGTGGTTTATTGGAGATAAGAGTTTCACGGACTTTCCTGCCTGGGCTGGCTTTGAACCGCGATCCTCAGATCCCAGCCTGGGGAGTAGCTAGGATTACAGGCATGAGTTATGGGCGCCAGGCGACCCTTACCTTCTTTGATGGTCCATCCAAGGCCACAAGGACCCCTGTTTCTTACGTATTGCAAAACTCACTAAACAATATAAGCAATAATTAGGAAGTAAGATATAGGTGGTAAGTAAAGCCACACTATCAGCAGTAGCTGTCTTTATTAAACCTTTCATCTTACTCTTATTTAATATCATCTAATTTATTTTACTCTCTCATGGGAAGCAAATAAAATCAGCAAATCGTGATTATTGTTCCTCATATCAGGTGATTCATGCTGAGATGCTTTCCAAAAATAATAAGAGTTTACTGAGCTAGAACAGGGAATACATAAGAAGGTTAAGTTCATCTGTCCTGTTACTTATTGCACACTTATTTAAAACAGAGTGGGGACAGTGCCCAAGCCCAGAGTTCAAACCCCACAACCGACAAAAAAAAAAAACAAAAAAGATAAAAAACAGAGTGAAGTGGTGTCTTTATATTAAAAATGCCTTCTCAGAGGTAAGCTGGGCTATTTCTAATTTCTTGTGTGTGTGTGTGTGTGTGTGTCAGTTGTGGAGCTTGAACTTTGGGACTGGGTGCTATCTCTGAGCTCTTCAGTTCAAGCCATAGCTCCCACTTCTGGCTTTCTCTGTGTATGTGGTGCTGAGGAATCAAACCCAGGGCCTCATGCATGAGAGGCAAGCACTCTACCACTGAGCCACCTTCCCAGCACTATTTCTAAATGTTTAAGGACAAGATAGATAGAAGCTGATCCCTAGGCTCCTCCTGGGGTTATGAGACAATCCCTTACTAACCTGGCTGTCAGGTCTGGCAGAGCATCCATGGTAGAGAATATGATGACTGATATGCTAGGACATCTGGAAGGTTCAGAACATTGACTGTTTGCCAAACAATGGGAAATGGTTTCTTCATTTTAGTAACTAGCTTGACAGGAAATTCCCTGGAGGAAATGTATCACAATGCTACTGTGATTCCTGCTTTAGGGAAAGGCAGGGAGATGATCAGAACCACTGTTTTTACTTTAGGGCCTTGCATATTTTTGATGCTCTCTTAATTTCATGGAAGTAGAAAGTCTAAATCTACTTGGACAATTACAAAAGAAATGATGAGAAATTCCATGAGTGATATTTCACATAAACAATGTGAGAATGCTGACTAAATATTACACATATCATAGAACCTACAGGAGGGAAGGGCAGAGATAAGTAATAAAAAAATCTTTGCATGGGATAATTGTCTTCTTAATAACAATAATAAACAAGAATCATCCTATTTAAACCACATTTGTGAGTGGTAATACCTGAACTTGCAATGTATATGATAATAGTTTTAATAGTTTATTTCCCTTTTAGATTTCCTTGTTGGAAAAGGCTGGATTTGGAGGTGTTCTTCTATATATTGATCCTTGTGATTTACCAAAGACTGAAAATCTTAACCATGACACTTTCATGGTGACCCTGAACCCTGGAGGAGACCCTTCCACACCTGGTTACCCGAGCATCGGTGAGTTTGTTCGTGGACTTTTGGGGCTGTGATTCGTAAGTTGATGCTAGCTACATTAACCAAGAAATAACAAAATCAAAATTTGCACAACTCCACATTTTTAAAGAGACAGCAAATATCTTATTGCACACATGAACAAATACATACATGTGAAATGTCGAAAGTGCCTTAAATCAGCTGTAATAACTCTATGACAGTCTATGTCAGCCATTTCTAAGGCTAGGGAAGCTGTCAAAGGAGATGCTAGAGAAGTCTCCCCCAAGAGAAGGAGCCTTATTGGTTCCTCCTGTTTCTAGCAGCATCCGACCACAATCTTAGTATCACATATCCTTTTGCTCAGTAAGCTGTTTTGTTTCATGGTAGTTGGGATTCTGAGCCAAGAAATTTATTAAGAGTAAATATTGTCAACTAGACAACTTACCAAAATAGGTAGATATAGTCTACTTTGGGCAACTTGATACAGACAGCTGCCAAGTGTAGCCTACTGAATCAGAGTAATTATAGCACATTACAATAAGATTAATGAATCAGAAGCTAGACTACTATTTACAGTGATATCTAGAAATTGTATGTAGACAACTAATAATCTTTAGTTCAAAATTTGAAAGACAGTTAAAGAGCCCACAAAGTACAGTGAGTTCCTAAAAATAAATGCTTGTGTGGAATATAATAGACAAAGCAGTAAACCACAAACTGTAAGTAATTACATTAAAAAACCTTCTTAATCTGATTCAATGTACTATCCCCTTGGAGAAAGTTACTAATTGATTGGTAATGCTAGTACAAATAGAGAAAAGACAGCTGGATTTAAGAAAGCTTAATAACATCTTTTATAATATTTGGGGGAAAGAAGGAAAAACACTCACAGAACATATGGACAATTTTATTTTGACAAGTTTAATTACTAATTAAATTGTCATGGTCAATATGTATCACCCTGGATAAAACGTGTAAAGAGGCAAGCTGGGAAGGTGGCTCAGTGGTAAAGTACTTGCCTTGTATGCATGAGGCTCTGGGTTCGATTCCACCATATAAGCAGAAAAGGCCAGAAGTGGTGCTGCGGCTCAAGTGGTAGAGCCCTAGCCTTGAGCTGAAAAGCTGAGGGACAGTTCCTAGGCCCAGAGTTCAGGCCCCCGACTGACAAAAAATAAAAGTATAAAGAGGACTGGGAAGGTAGCTCAGTGGTAGAGCGCTTGCCTTGCATGCATAAGGCCCTAAGTTGGATTCCTCAGCACCACATAAGCAGAAAAAGCTAGAAGTGGTGCTGTGGCTCAAGTGGTAGAGTGCTAGCCTTAAGCTGAAGAGCTGATGGACAGTGCCCAGGCCCAGAGTTCAGGCCCCACGACTGACAAAAAAAAAAAAAAAGAAAAGAAAAAGAAAAAGTGTAAAGGGCATTTTCCTCAGCTGAATTAAATGTACAGGGTATTTGTCAGTGACACAGTCATTGGACAGAAACTCAATGGTGCAGAGAGCTGCTCCAAAATCATTCTCTTGGCCACAGAATCCCAACTACCATGAAACAAAACAGCTCACTGAGCAAAAGGATATGTGATACTAAGATTGTGGTCGGATGCTGCCAGAAACAGTCATAGTCAACAAAATTTTAGCAAAGTCTTAAGGACTCTTAAGATGATTTTTTTTTCTTTTTATTTTAAAATTCACAAATGTGGTATATATAGACTCTTGGTACCTATCTTCCATTCTCCTGTAATAAGAATGTTAAAATCATCAAATTCACACAATCAATGTAATAAAAGATTTACAGATTTTATTCAAAGCTCCCCAGTTTGCTACTAGTCTTTCCGAACCTCTGCTGAAGCTTCATTCCTCTCTTCCCCTTTCCCCTCCTTTTCCCTTCCCTCCTCTTCTCTCTTCCCCATTTATTCTTCCTTCCACACATCTCACATCTGAATGCTAGCATGTTTTGTAGAAGGTCCCTCAATTGAGCATGTCTGGAACTTTCTAATGAATAGAGTCAGGAGCAGTAGGAGAAATCTTATAATCTACTGATAGGATATCAATAGGTCCACAGTTTTGCGTGTCTCAATTCTCTTCTATAGATCTCACATGAAAACTTACATTAAAAATATAATGTTGATGGAGTGAAAACTTCCTACTTACATATGTAGTTTTATATAGTAGAAAGAAAAGGCAAAACTAAAATTCATTCTATTTTTTGGCCTAGAATAGAAGAAGTACTGACTAACTATCATGATTTATATTGCTGGCTTTGATTCATTCAAATATTCTCAATATTCTCTGAAATATTCTCAATATCTTTATATCTTATGGTTTTATTAATCTTTAAAAAATATAATACAATACTTCATAGATTTTTTGGGGGGCCGATTGTGGGGCCTGAACTCCAAGCCTGGGCACTGTCCCTCAGCTCTTCAGCTCAAGGCTAGTGCTCTGCCACTTGAGCCACAGCGCCACTTCCAGCTTTTTTCTTTTTATTTATGTGGTGCTGAGGAATTGAACCCAGGGCCTCGTGCATGCAAGGCAAGTGCTCTACCACTGAGCCACCTTCCCAGACCTACTTCATAGATCTTTTACCTTAGAGGTAGGAATAAACAAGAATGAACAGTGTGGATTATGAATTAAAATAAATAATGATTTCTTTAACATCAACCAATTAACTGACTTCATATACTCCAATACTGTCAGTTAAATTATTAGATGAACTTAATTTAAAACTATTTTGTTTTACAATATTAAGAACTCTATTTCTGTAATTAATTTTAGAGAAACAAAGTTCTAATGAAGATGATTAGAACAAATAAAACTCCCAAGGGTTATTTTTAAACCGGATCATTTGGTTTTCACTATAAACAAAGTAAATCAAATGGTGTAATGCCTAGTCTATTTGATCCACTTAGATTGTTCAGCCTATTAAAATACTAGCATTTTTGTTTTCTCTGTACATTATCTTACATTTCACACTACCATTTACTATTTTCTATGTAAAAGATGCACCCATTAAATATTTGCACCATAAAGGACAAATGGATACTTCCTGTATCCCCATGTTTACTTAGCTAAGAATGCCTCATCACTTCAAAGAGTTATTTATTTATTTTTTTTATTGTGAAAATACCATTCAGAGAGGTTACAATTACATGAGCAAGGAAATGAGTACATTTCTTATCAAGCATTGTTGCCTCCTCCTTTGTTTCCCCTTACCATCCCTTCCTATCTCTCCCCCCACAATGTTGTAAAGTTCGTTTTTTGACATAACGACTTGTACATCTCATTATTGCAATGGGTCACCTGTATCCTGTTTGAACAATTTGTTTTTTCCCTTCCCCTCCACAAATTATACAAACATCAAATACAATGAAAGCATACCGTGGGAGATGGACATACAAAACAACAAAGAAATCATCTTATAAATATGTTAGAAATAATCACAAGAAAGAAAAAAAACTTTTTAATACTTACCTTAGGGTTCATTTCACCTAACATCAACTTATCTGACCTTTTCTGCTTGTCTCAGACATGTACTAGTTATTGCAAATAAGGGAAACTATGGGACCTATGTTTCTTTGGGCCTGGCTTACTTCACTTAATATAATTTTTTCCAAGTTTTTTCATTTCCTAACAAATGGGGCAATGCCATTCTTTCTGATGGAGGCATAGAATTCCATTGTGTTTATATACCACTTCACAGAGTTTTGAGTCCAATTACTCACTGACCTTAATAAACCTTAGATTATCAAGACTGACTTTTCTCATGATACAAAAGTTTCAAGCTAAAACTTGGAAATAAATCGCTTCAAACATTGTGTGCATGCTGTCACTGTTTAAGCTCAAAATGTGTCTTATGGAATATTTATTCAGTATCAGTATCAGTTGTTTATTGCTAGAGAGCATAACCAAATATTTCTATATATTCAAGGTGCATGGTACTCATAAGTTGGCATTCTTAATTGAAATTCCTTTGTATAACTATTTAGAGATAATAAAAATTAAATAAATTGCATAAAAGAGAATATCAGTGTTCATTTCCACACAATATAATGCAAGTGGATGGTGCTATTTAAAGGAAACTCCACATAATATCCCATCTTGTTACATACCTTTATAATTATTTGTTAGTATGGAAGTAGAGCAGAGAGTAAATAGTGGCAAAATCACACATCTTCTCATAATTCAGAAAAGAATGCCTTGAGATATTCTGTAAAGCTTTATTATATGTAAAGCTTTATTATCATTAAGTAGTTGGAGTCAAATCAACGTTTCAGCTCTGGGTACAATGAATTGTGACAATACCACCATTTCCCTCCTTTACCCATATCTTCACCCCACCCAAGTTTCTTGATTCCATTCAGATATGTACATTAAATAATATGAAATTCTTTTAACTAAAACAATCTTTTATGTTCATCAGACACATTAATGTATTTTCTTAATCCCTTGATACTTCCCAAATATACAAAAAAAAATCCTGCCGTAGCTGTACACTGGTGGCTCATGCCTGTAATCCTAGCTACTCAGGAGATTGAGCTCTGAGGATCGCAGTTGGAAGCCAACTGCCACTAACCACTACAAAATTGGAAGTGGAGCCTTGATTTAAAGTGGTAGAGTGCTAGTGTTGAGCATGAAAAAAACCTCAAGGACAGTGCCCAGCCCCTGAGTTCAAGCCCAGTAACTGACAAAAACCATCTTATTGTAACTATGTAGAGCAAGAAGGAACCACACAACTTGGTAGTGAATCAAGTTTTGCACTGTGTGAGAGGGGGATGATTCAAAATAGGCTGCAAGAGACAGAGTAACAAGAAGAAAAAGTGGTTACAACCTCATGCAGAATATACAGAGGTGGGTGGAAATCCCTGCAGAGTATGTCAAAGGTGGCAGGTGTCAATAAAGAAAAGTATTTGTTTGTAAATGACAATGTGGAAAACAATGGGCTTAGCCTTTCATGGTCTGCCAATTGTGAGTAGATGTTTTGATTTAGTAAACTTTGTTGTAGAGAATCCCTCCTGTGCTTTCCAGATTCT